CTGGAAAATTTAAGGAGTTATTATTATGTACGTTTAGATGATACAACCGGTAGGATACTTTTGCACGTTACTGTACAACAAGATTTCATTGTAACGAATTTACCTGCAACAAGCTCTAACAGCATAATGGCCGGCCGATGAAATCAGCCGGCAACACAAAACATTTCTAGTAAAATCAGTAAAATAGAACGCATATTTATTTGCTTGTTAACGTTAACGAAGGGACAAGGTAGTTATCACAAACCGATTATAATGCACTATACAAGTTTGGTATATATTTATATGTTCGAGATGTTCTGTAACGGTGCGACTGGAATCTATTTTACGTAAATAAAGACCTAACCCTGTATAACATAATGATTAGTACAAATAGACGGTGTTTTGCACAATACGATGTAAATATTCGAATCACCTTTTGCCTGTCCCTTGTGAGCATCCGCAACGAGATTTTGAATGCCCTCACCATCAATGTGCTGAAATCTCAATCTGCGACCCGTATCATTTTCTACAACAGAAAAGACTTCTGTAAATATGTGCTCATACGCATTAGCGGTCTCAACATCCGTGAAGACCCGAGCAAAGGGTAGGGCTAAATTGGAGTGAACAAATTATCAGTACAAATTCAATTATGGCAACCTTCAGAAACAGTCGAATCCTACTTTTGTTGTAACGTTCAATGAATGCATTCCTTAATGGCGCCTTGGACACACTTGAAGCTTGCATCGATTTAGCTGTTGAAGTTGTCGTGATTGATACGTTGTCATACAGATGATCAAAATCTGACCAGTTTCATAAAAATCTACGAATTAAACGTGAAAGTCTGCGTTGGTTGGGGCTGGTGGCGATTAAGTCATAACAGAATCAATCGAAGATTTGTACGAATGTGACGGATGTAGGGGTTTTCAGAATTTTTGTGGTTTCGAGAAAACTCACTAATCACACCTGTATTTTGGTTAAAGGAAATAAGTAATTCTTATAAAGTGAAGGTGAAAGCAATGATTGAATACTGAGCATACCATAAATATCCTGACTGAATGGATATTTCGCACGTTTGGCTTTTCCTATGAGATAATTGAGTCTGGTTTGATTGTTAAAAGAGGGATGAAGTCTGCTAATACTGCCTTGAACACTACCATAAATCCCTTCCATCTTGTCTAATTCTTAAACAAGGCATGAAACGTCCCATTGAACCTCTTAAATCATTCCTTAACTCCTCAAAACTC